TTTTTCTGTTTTTACTAGGAAAGGGTCTCTCTCTCGTTCATCAGGCTGGTCTCCCACTCCTGAACTCAAGTGATCCTCCCAGAGTGCTAGGATTACAGGCGTGAGCCACTACACCCAGCCCAGGTTGACATTTTAAGGGATACTTTTTATATGTGAGAAGTAGATTGATTGTCTCAAAATAAATAAATAAATAAATAAATAGAGTCTTGCTTTGTTGCCCAGGCTAGAGTTAGAGCCATGGCATGAACCTAGCTCACAGCAACCTCCAACTCCTGGGCTCAAGCGATCCTGCTGCCTCAGTCACCCGAGTGGCTGGGACTACAGGCATGTGCCACCATGCCCAGCTAATTTTTTCTATGTATACTAGCTGGCCAATTAATTTCTTTCTCTTTATAGTAGAGACAGGGTCTTGCTCTTGCTCAGGCTGGTTTCAAACTCCTGATCTCAAGCAATCCGCCCGCCTCGGCCTCCCAGAGTGCTAGGATTACAGGCGTAAGTCACTGTGCCTTTCCCCCATTTATTTTTAATAAGGACAAATACTTTTTTATTTGAGAGATGAAGAGAAATGTAATGTGAAACAAAAGAGACATTAAGTAATGTGAAAAGTGATCACTGTTAATAAATTTCTTCACCTATAAAAAGCAATAATAGGCCGGGCGCGGTGGCTCACGCCTGTAATCCTAGCACTCTGGGAGGCTGAGGCGGGCAGATTGCTTGAGGTCAGGAGTTCGAAACCAGCCTGAGCAAGAGCGAGACCCCGTCTCTACTATAAAGAGAAAGAAATTAGTTGGCCAACTAATATATATAGAAAAAAATAGTGGGGCATAGTGGCGCATGCCTGTAGTCCCAACTACTCGGGAGACTGAGGCAGGAGGATCGCTTGAGCCCAGGAGTTGGAGGTTGCTGTGAGCTAGGCTCATGCCATGGCTCGCTCTCTAGCCTGGGCAACAAAGAGAGACTCTGTCTCAAAAAAATAATAATAAAAGTTACTAAACAAGTTTAAAAAATATAATCAAAAGGTAATCACAAGTATTATTCATTTCAGTCTTCTAAATACCTGCCACTAGCAATCAGTTCAGATCAATAAGCACTATTTTAACAACACAGTGTACTTTATTAAAAGATTTTAACCATCTTTCTGATGTTTTTTAGCCTTCAATTTAATTTCTTCCTACTCTACTTTCTCAAACTAAGATCACCCTATCTTTCCTTCTCATTTCTACTTCTTACACTTTCATCTGCAAACCTTGTACTTTTCAGAACTTTTCCCCAAACCTAAAATGAAGAGAAATCTGTTAAAAGCAACTATTGAGGCAAAATTCTATTCAACCTTTCTCATATATTCTCTATTTCAACTGATTTTTAACAACTAAGAAGATAATGTCTATATTTTGTATGATACTAAAGTTCAGATGTTTAAGAAAATATAATTTTCTAAATAATACTTTTTTACTTAAAATAATTTAGTGAACAAATCTCCAGTATTTCCCAATGAAATTAAATACTAAAACTGAAGGTAAGTAGTCTTGTCTTATTTCTCAACAAATGGCCACTGGACATTTCAGAAACAGTGTTCATGAACAAGAATGAAAATGCCATGTAGCAAGGTAATATCAATAAAATAAAACAATCACATCCTCTGACCTATCTATCTTAAGGCAGAAAGTTGCTCACTGGATAACTTTTTAGAGAAGTTTCTCTCACTTGTTCAACTGTCGTTTTAATGGTCCATCCAGCTTTTTAAAAATGTATTCCTTTAGTCTCTCTTCACTCCCTTGTCCCCTCAATCGATCGATCACCAAACCTTTTCAAACACGTCAGATTCTAGAGATACACAGATAAGCGGGGGAGTTACTACTACTGGAGCAGGAGCTGGACGCCTGGCCGGGGAGTCACCGTAACAGCATAACTGCCATGGGACGCGGGCAGGGGAGAGAGGAAGAGGCTTGGTGAAACTTTATGTAAGAGATGATATCCAAGCCATGTTTGAAAAGGGAATGTAAAGAACAGGGACAAAATTATTTCAGAAAAAGGAAACAGTCTATAGAAACATGAAAATTCATGGAATTTCTGGTAGAGCTTGCATTGAAAGAGTTAAGAAGAAAGGAAGGAGAGTGTCCCATGATCAATAAATAAACCTTGAGAGATGAGCCCAGGTCAGATGACGAGGGGCTTTGGGGATCATAATTCCTTGTATATAGTAAATGTTCAATAAATGTTTGCTTCATTGTCACCAACAATACCAAGTTTGATTTCACTCTTGAGAGACATCTGATGGAAGATACTCTTTTCAACCCACAATTTTTAAGTCTAGTAATTCCCCATTGATACATGAGTGATTACTAGAAAAGGAAAGAATGCAAAACATCAAAACAAAAATTGTCAGAAATAAAAATATTTCAATAAGCCATAAAATAAACATTTCCTAACATCATTCATGTGTAGCTGAATATTTTAATCTGGAACCCTAATCATCTGTACATACTATAGACAGTATAATTCAAAAGGAAAGACTTAACTGTACCCATGTTTTAGAATATAACACAGGAAATGAAAGTAACTCCAAACTTTTAAACTGAGTTCTTATAAATGGAATGATTCTATCTATAAATAAACCTTGTAGGGTTCCTCTGGATTCCTACCAACTGGGGCTGGTGGCTAGGTATAACTAGCATTCTCATGAAACGTGCCCTCCAAATCTTTGGACAGTGGCTTTAAAGATTCAGCAGTAGCTAAGTGAACTCTCAAATACATATTTGGTAAGTAAATTTGCTTAAAATTCTTATTCCAACAGCCTGTTACCATTTTGGCTATAAAATTGACACCTTAATGAACTGTCATTTATTTAAAAGTTCATTGTTGGAAAACTTTGTACTTTCCTTTTCATTGGTTCCTATCTCTTGCCATACTAATAAATTAAATAGCAATTTGAATTTTTAAAAGATCTAAAGAGTTTACTTTATAGAGACACATTTAAGATACTATGGCAGCACCAACTCTGTTCGGGTTTTTTGCCACCATGAATTCTGAATAATTATTTCACAAACAAATTGAGTCCCTGCTTAAGGAGAGAAAATATTAGCACATCTGCATTTCAAAGCTCTTGCTTTGAGAACTCTTCTACATAACAGATTAAAGCAACACTGTTACATAGTCTGTGTAATAAGAGTTATTTTCCGTGTTTACCTAGATAGTGCGATTCCTTGTGCTGGTAGATCTGTTGTCAGGCCCTGGTGAAAAAGAAAGCTACACTATCTTTTTTGGGACGTGCACCATATAAATGTGTTTTGCTTTAGAGCTCTTTTCGAAACTGGTAACTATATAGAGCGAAGTAAAAAGTGGAATCTATTTTCCTCTCCCAACTCTAAGACCTTCTATCTGGGCCAGACTTTGATATCTGCCCCTTGGCTGAGAACCTGCAGATCCAGCTTCACACTCAGCTGCGGTGAGTAGCCCTGCAGGCAGGCCGACTTCAACGGACCACTAGTGGCATCATCATTAAAATCCTGCTGAAGGTCACCATGGTAACCGCCTGCTGAGGCTTCGCTGCTGCACCCGGCATCTCCTAATCAGCTACCATGTGAAATGCAAATTCAGACAGTCTGAAAATTAGTCAAGAAGAATAGGGGATGAGGATGCAGATATGTGAAATATTCATGTGCTTCATGGAAAAAAGAAGACAGCATGAATGACACAACAAAGAAAGGCCCCTGACATTCTTGCCATCATTCTGCATCATTGTTCACACCCTACTGTATTTCCAGGCCTGTAGTTCTGAAGTTGGTTTTGTGAGATGCCATATTTATAGTCTACACCCAAAATAGTAATTAAAAATGGCTAACATAATAGCAGTAACATCAAATAGAGATAATACTTCTAAATTATCATCACTGCCTCGTAAAAGTTTATTCTAATTACCCAAATACGAATGCTATAAAGCAAAAAACCAGGCATAATTGATTATCAGTATCAAGACTGCTGGAAGAAAAAGTACTTACTACATCCTAGGAACACAAATGCTTTACATATGGTAAAAAATTCTTTAGAGATATTTATAATTCAAGTTACATGGGCTCAAATTTCCTTACATGATGCTAAGAATGAAGGCTATTCAATTCACAATAAAAAGACTGACAAAATTATCTAATAAGTGAATGTTATAATTATTTTATATTTTTCCTTTGCTCCTTCCCATTTTCCTGGGGCAAAAAAAAAAATCTGTAGCTCAAGAGGAGGTGAGATGTCCTCACACAACACAGTGCTTCCTCTGAGCAGGTCCCCAACGAACATTCCAAAAAGAGCTTGTGTGAAACGTTTTAGCTGATCTGAGACACTGCTCTTATGCACACTTCCTCCTCAAACACTGGTAAAACCATCACGTGTCAGGCTAAAATAGGAGCTGTTGTGTCCAATGAAAAACTGGACATTGGGCCAGAACTCATTTCAATGGGTCACCAAAGCTAGGGCTCAGATCTTATTTGACTCCAGTAGTGAGGTGGTGATAGGACAGGCATTGCCAAAGGAGGGAGGGTGAAGCTTAAAGACTAAGAGTCATATGTAGGTGTCAATTTTGGGGAAACATGGACTAGAGGGAACCTCTGCCAAAACAGACAGTTATAATCATCTGCCGGTCTGAGACCACGGGAATGAGGAGTCAGCCCTATTAGGAGAGCCCACCAGACTCGCTGATTAACCAGAGTCTAGGTGTGAGCGCTAACTCCGCCCTCTGCTGCGTTTCGTACGCTGTAAACCAACTACTGTTCTTAACACACCTAGGAAGTGGCTGGTTTTACACCACATGCTGCGTTGTGTTCCACTCCACATCATGAATTCCACAGTCAATCCTTTAAACAGCAAGTCTCCAAGAAAATGAAAACAGAATAAAAAGTGTTATTGCTGCCACCTATACTATTCATTTGTACTTCTGGATGAAGCAAAATTTCTTAAAATACAAAGGTCAGCAAAACAACAGCCAAACATGTGGACTGGAAATGACTTACCTCCTCTGAATAGTGATCTGAAGGAAGAGGCGGGTAGTCACACTGCTCTATCTTCTTGCACAGCGAGTACAAGTTCATTTTGTCCCCGTAGAAGGGACTCTGCAACGCGGCCATCTGTAAAACGCCCCCAAGGAGACTGATGTAGTTACAGAATGACTCTAACGTTGATTTCATCAAGTATATTACACTGGGGTAGAAAATAATTACAAACACTTTATTTAAAGTTATCTGGGAAGTTTGATTTTTGTGACTGTTTCTGAGAATTAAAAATCTTAGTTTAACTTTTGATTGTGTTTTCAATATTTACAATTTCCTGAAATAGAGAAATGGTTAGCATTTATATATACATGTATAGATACATACAACATAAAGCAATACTAACACCATATGACTTTAAATAATATGTATAAATAATGGCATAAAAACAACTAGCATATCTCATGACAAAACAGGCATTACAAGGTATCTCTCAACCTTGTTAATGGTCAAAATATAACAAATATGAAACAAGTTAAAACTGAATTATAATCTGGAGAATATAATTTAGGGGCTAGGATGCACAGCATTTTATCTTGCATAATAGTTCTGCAGGGAAAGGTTATTCTGAGGGAAAAAAAGTCGTCTCAATTTGAATATTCTAACTGATCCCCAAATAGTTTACAATGAACTAGAACTTCTTGTCTCAAAACACTAAACATTTCCCAAAGCTCCAAGCGTCATAGCTGCAATTCAAGGCCTCCAAATGAGATTTTTATGCAGAAGAACACGACTCAAAGGACGAACAACTTTAAAAAAGACATTATTGAATTTAAATTTATTTTAAGACAAGGTTCTAACTTGACATTTAAAGTGCAAGCAGGTACTGCAGTAAGCAGGGCTACAAACTAAAAATTCAATTTAGAGTGTTCGCATCCTGTTCGAACCCTTCTGAATCTCTGAACCGCGGCAGCAAGCACACGACGCGGAGCGCCGGGCTGCCCCAAAGCCAGTCACCCTTTTCTACATGTGCTAATAAGTTTGATTTTGGAAGGACAATGTGTACATTCCCCAGACAGGCAGAGTGTGTGTGAAACACGCCGGTCCATGCTGCGCTACTCAGCGAGCGTCAGCAGGGACAGGACTAGCTGAAAATGGCTCTCATCTGTCTCCCGCGCTCCAGACGGGCTTAACTCCTTCAGAGCCTTGGCGCAGAGCGGCTGCAGCTGGAAATCACACCCGGAGAGGCGCCCTTTACCCAGCCTCCGTTTTATATAAAGACGACACACACCTACACAGAGCCGCCTTAGGGACAGCTGCTCCATGTGAAGAGAGAAAAGTAAAAGGCAATTCAAATGTCCCTAATCATATGAAACACTCTATCCAAGGGGAAATTTCTAAAGGAGGAACTATAAGATAAATTAAGATTTAAAATGCTACTTTAAAAATACACTATATATATAGAAACTATAGTCTCCCTGTGTTTGTGAACCTTAGGTAAACGTACACATATCCATTACCATATGCTAGGAGTTCATTATAGTCCTTTCTCTCCATACTGCACAGTGTTAAAAAAGAAATCTGAACATCCCCTAAGGAGTTAAACAGGAATAGTATATTTTCATGCATCTCCTGCTTTGACAGATGAAAAATGTCAACTGTCCTGTTTTTATTTTCAAGCTTTTGCACTATTCATCTGGTTCATTAGTGCATCTCGATGCTGCCCCTGACAGCTGCTCGCCCTCTCCTCCCAGCAGCTGAATTTTTCAGGCTAATTTGATCCTCCACACTGAGACGATCGCTAGGATGATTGACTTGCTCCCTGACCTCCAGGGTCTGACTTTCCTGATTAGTATTCTGGGGGTGTCGGAGGGACGAGAGCCCACTGTCTGTCTTCGGGGCTGGTGGCAGCTCTCTTTTTTTTTGAACTGTAAGCCACCAACCTACAACCCTGTAAGGATGCAGTCGCTGCGCTGAACAATAAAGGAAATGTGTAAAACCTACTTTTCCATGTAAAGGTCCGTGTAGCAAAAGCACAGCATCTTGATTTTAATTAGTAAAGTCTACTTTGTTGCATATCAATTAAAACTGTACTGCTAGTTTTTTTTTTTTTGAAGGTTTCAGGAATATTTGAAAGTCTAATTTCTGAGTTTAAAATACATTTTCAAAAAAGCCTCCCTACTCCTTCATTGTTAGTAATAATTTCTTAGCGGGATATAATATAAAATATGTATGTGATGTTATGGCCAGTTTTTTAAAGCTAAATTGCTCAGTATTTCTCTTAATATTATATTGAAACATAACTGAAAGGAGATAGAACATAAAGGTGAATTAAATCTTTACAAAAATTCTAGTTCTTCCAAAAGACTTGCATGGGGAAATAGAGAAAATGCATTAGCATGATAAATACTTAACTGGAAATCATCCACAACACATATAACTCATGGATGCAGGAGTGTCCAAAGACATTATTTTGGTGATCATTTTAAGTACACATAAAGATGGGACACTGCCTCTCAAAGGTAAACTCAAAATGTGATAAATTATTTCAGTTTCGACACGAGGGGCTGTGCTAGCCTTAGAAGAATTATGCAAACTTCCCCTTAAAAAACCCAATTATTACCTCAACTGAACCTTTTCTTTTCCATCGCTAAATTTAATCTTATTATTGGAAACCAATTTGCTGTTTACTTTTGGGTGTTTAAAGAGAAAATGTTGCTTTGATAATACTGGACTATGGCCTGAAGGAATCTCAGATTACCTAAACAGATAAAAAATATCTTAAATGTATAAAGTGACTAACTTGGAAACATTATAGTAACTGATTATAATTAAACTAGTTCTTTTAAGCATTGTATCAAATTATTAACTAGATATAACACAGTGAGCATAAATCTCATAATCATATGTGCATATATAAAAAACATTTTGTTGCATTACTAATTCATAATTTTTCATAATAAAAATTATCCTAGAGATGAGCTTATTCATGAACATGTAAAAATACTTTCATTTTAAGTGAAGGGAAAAACAAAAAATTAGAAGGAAAAACAAAATAATTTCAGGTTCCTTTAATTAAGGAAATTTGAATCTGCAATCAGTAAAAGACCATAAAACACATTTAAAAATAAAAAAACACCACCTCCTGATGTTCCACTTCCAAATACTAGTGGCACAATTAAAACAGATGACCTCATCGAATATTTCATCATTTGTCAGGAAGACAAGAGATACAAATATGCAAAAAGAAGTGCATTGGTTTCTATCTACTTTAGATTTCTCTTACATAATAGAGACATGAAAATAATTCCATGTAGCATGTTTCTTCACTTTATTAAAACCTAATTAGATATTAACTAACTTTTAATTAACACCTTTGACTTAAAGCCTATATTCCTAGGAAAATTACCATTCAATTAAAAACAAAATTATAGAAGTCACTAGCTTGAGATACTCTTTGATTCCATTGCTCTATATGTAAAATGTGTTAATAACATGCTTTCTTCTATCCATTCAAATTACTGCATTGCAATATTTCTAAAGGATCTACCTACATGATTCCATTTTCCTTTGATAAATTATCACCAGTAGAACAGGAGAGGGTATTTCACTGAGCTTTACCAATACAAATTGTTATTTGTTTCCACTAAATTAATAACCTAGAAAACTTATCTATTTGCATACTACCCTTCATAATGAATTACATCAGTGTAAAAGCGAACTAAAATATTGATAAAGCTATTTACTGTATGTTCATATTTTAAATCCATTATGCCTCTCCTACAATGCACAGATAAAGATCCATTGATTTAAAATGTATATTTTTATAAATGCAAAGTATGCAGAAAGGTATTACATTAATATAAAATTAACTTCTAAAAAATAAAATTCTCATCACAGGGACACAATTAAAAAATACATTAGAGGAAGTCAATGTCGAGGAATACATAGTTATTAAGTCCCATTATAAAATAGTTATTAACCTGATGAAATAATTTTTCATAATTAAAAAGCTGATTTTTAAACATCCAGAAAAAAGTAAGTGTATACTTAAGGATAGGGGAAATATACCATAGTAAATAAAACTGTATTGATATAGAGAATTTATCAACATTGCCTACCTCATACAGTAGACAGCCAAGAGACCAGATGTCAGATTTGAAGTTGTATCCATTTTCATGTATTCTCTCTGGAGACATGTAATAAGGTGTACCCACTGCAAAGAAACAGACCAAATAAAACAAGAGGAGTATAAACATGGAGATATACAGTTTTAGTAGGAAATAACACACAAAATTTTGGATTAAAAAATGTCACCAAAATGATTTATTAGGACCAGAAAATTATTTTTGAGAATACACAAAACTTTAAAATTTCTTCCTTACTCCCCAACCCTTAAACAGCACACTAACATTTATATTATAAAGAGTATGGTGGGTTACACTTTATTTCCTTGTGAGCAATCCAGGGAGACTCAAGAGAACATAACTAAAGGGGAAAAAAAAAGTAATTCTAACAAGAAAACCTATTTCAGTGATTGACATTGGCTTTATTTTTTTTTCAATAGGGATATCCTAAATAATTAAGCATAATAAATTATTTGAAAACAAATATTATATAACAATTTAGCAGAGTATGTATAAATAAATCACACTAACTTTTACAGAAACATCCCTTAGAACATACTCATAGCTTTTAATAAATGACATGACTGTTAACAACCGGTGCCTTAGTTACGCCCACTTTAGAAAGGATATAACAGACTTTTGTACATCAAAGGGTTACATAATAACACACGAAAGGGTACTGGCGTCTCTGGAAAGACGTCTGAGTTATTGCTACCACTGAGCCCTTTTTATAGATAAGACACTCTAGATAATTTTTGTTTGTTTTGATGTCCTAATACTTTTCACTCTTTTTTAATGACCATTTTAGAAAATGCTAGTTTGAAGGGTAAAACATTTACGTGACTTTCAAAGTGAATATCTTTAATTTTAGACTTAGATGCCTATCATATCACCATCATTAGCCTAAGGTTTTTTGCCAAATAGAAAATCAAAGTTTGATAACAACATTTAGCGATCTTATTTACCTGAGGCAAGATCTACTAAAAATATTCTGCTCATGGAGAAAAGGCATTCTCCTTTTTCTATTAATTTTCAAGAACTCCCTAGGTATTTACTGTAAATGTTAATGAGACTAAATCACAATACTGAACAAGGGTCTTTAGTAAGAGGCAACAGAAAGAGTCACACCAATAATTAAAACATTATCCTTAAAGACAGGAGTCAGTTTTCCAAAAGAATAAAATTATAACCTAACGGTTGTGAGTGGAAACAACGCTGTGCTAAAGGTGCAAACGTCATGAACTACGTATCCAGGAAATCCTACCTATATTGGAATCCCTTTTTACTACTAATGCACAGTCCTAGTCGCAATGGATAAAAGAGAAGTATTCACGAAAGTGAAGAAGTGAAAAAAGAGTATGAAAACAGGAGGATAAAAAAATCTAAATAAAATATGAACTATTCAGATATAAAATTAATGAGACAAACTTAAAGAAGTTATTTAACTGCAGCATTTACTTTGAAGACAAAGAGGTAAATCTGCCAATTTCTATGGTGTCAGAAAAGCAAAGAAACTTTTAAAAATAGATGGGCTTAAAGAATCTGTATTGTTGTTGCATAAAATAAACACCAGCTATCTAGTGCTGGGAGTGCTAACCACGTTCACTTGCAGTTTGCATGGGCGGCAAGTTCCCTCCATGGAAGGCAGGCCGAGGGCAGGGTTGGGGTAACAAGCCAGCTCTGCGCAGGCTCCTGGTTCCGGGACATAAAGCAGCGGCTGGCAGTGAGGAATGTGCAGAGAGAGGCTTCACAGAATCCACAGGGGGCATCTGAAAACACCAAGGCTTGAAGGTTCAGAGTTTACCAAAAGCAAAGGTAATTTTAACCAGTAGCTCTGGGAGACCTGCTGATCCGTTAGGGGTTTGATATGAGTGTGAAAGATTGATGATAGGGAAAGAGGAGAACAAATGCCAGCGTTTTACAGAGATTAGCCCCAGCATAACACCTTGACTGCAACACAAACCCAACTCACCTCGACCCAAGTTGAGGGAGCAGAGGAAGAGAAGGATCAGGAATTCTGCTAAACTAAACTAAACTTAAAATGTAAAAAATTTTAATGCTCAAAAGGCCTTGAAGGCCTCGTCTGGTGAGCTGCTGGAGGGCATTACAAAAAGTTACACACTCAGTCAATGCTGGTACTTTAAACTTAGATTCCGATTCTTCTCTGTATTATAAATAACAAACTTCTTTATACTAAATAATGTTTTATTTCAATATCGAAATTACACGTATTCTTGAATATATATTAAAAATGTAAAGTAAGTATGCTACTCACCTCTTTGATGGACACATTTCCAAAAGAGTCATTACATAAGATGAGCAGGTTTGCATCCTGCACTACAATTATTAGTTGGATAAATCCATAATTAACTGAACACAGGCCTAATAGGGAGGTTCGACCAGCTCCTACTGACGGACTCCCTGAGGTGCCCGTCAGTGCGGGACAAGGGCTCTTCCACTGACTGACGCTGAGCAGAGAGGTGCAGCCCTCTGCAAACGGGTCCGTCCTCACCTCTCTCCACCTCGCACAAAGGCCTGAAAGTCTAAGCGCTCAGGAAAATTCCCCATGCATTTACATGCAATATGTTTTCAACACTTCGAACTTCATGAAGATATATTTCCTAAAAACCCTCTATAAAAGTCCATGACAGCTGTGTCTATGATTACTGTTGCCTCAAGAATGTTGTGACTTCTTTTAACAGTTGTACAAGACAAGAGAGAGCTGTGGATGGGTACGATCAGACAGTAAAATAATCACGCAAATCACTGTCCTATGTACTGAGGAGCTTGAAGACTGCAGAATGCATAATTCCGCTTATGCTTCAAGAATTTATGGCTATAGGTACAATGAGAATACATTTTGCAATAAGCCAATACTTAAGTCATTTTAACCTCCTGACATGAATAAAAGTAAGAACTAGATGATAACATTATAAAAACCAGAGAACACTGACATGAGAGGAAAGTTGCTAAGAACTGAAAATGCTACCTGACCTTTCTTTAATCTACACCTACATTCAAATATACCACGGCAGTCAGTGAAATGTAAAGAACATTTCCATTATATTAATTGACTTATTATAGCTATGTAAGGAAAGTTTTACATGACATATAATCCATAAATAATAAATATACTTTAAAACTTATCCTGAATACAATGAAGACCGATTTTCGGAAGTTCAACAATGTTTAATAGAACCAACTAATTCTGCTAACGTGTTTTTATTATGGAAGATAAACTAAATTAATGACTCTCATCAAAACAGGTTAGATACAGAACTTTTTCAACAGTTTCACTAAAATTTTAGCACTGTACTCTCTACATAGATTTGAATGAGAAAAAAATAACAGAATGACTGAAGCATCTTTATAAGGTTACATTTTGACTGCTCTATTTTTGTTTTTTAAACAAAGGAGGTAGCACAAAACCAGTGAAAGGTTGAGAAATCTCTTTCACATCTTAAATTTGCCACTAACTAGCTATGAGGAGTGTTTATCTTATCTTTTTAGTCACTTTCCTCATCAGAAGTGATGGGAAAGATGAGACCATCTCTGAGATCCCTTTTGATCTAAAGTTCTACAACACTCATAAAAATCTACAAAAATCCATATGGAAAATGAAATGGAAAGAATTATATACTCCTTTTAAAACTATCACGACAGCTGAGTGTTTTAAGTCAGAGTACAAACAAGCAAATTCAGTTTAGAAATACTGTTTTCTTTCTCTTACAATTGGAGCAAACTGTAGAAAGGAAAGCTTTGAACATTCTTTGGTGGGAAAATTAAAAGGAGACAAGTCATCTTATAGCTTAGTTTGATTTAAAAACACACATAACTTCAGGGAACAGACTTAAGTTCCATTCTTTCCTTCAGGCTCGAGAGTCAGCCCAGAAATTACGCCAGTAGACGGAATGGAGAGAGGCCCGATTTATTTCGCTGCGAGGAGTATTATCTGCGGTCGATTTGGAAATGGTTGAGCTACGTAGATCAATATTTCTTCTGCAGAAGACATTTATAAAACAAAATTTGTCATCTTTTAAGGGTAACTGGAAGAGCTTTGATAATGCTTAGGAAAAATACCTCAGCACATTTCACTGCTGCTGTTACCCTGCTCCAGGCAGCATATTAAGTGCATTACATGTATTCATCTCGCTGGATTTCAGCAAAGGTTTCCCATGCCCCACTGCACGGCACACACCGTACTAGGTCCTAGGGTGACAGAAGCAGACAGGACAAACCCTTGACCTCACGGGGTGGGGCTCCAGTCCTGTGAGGTGGGGACTGTTACGGGGCAGTTTTATGGGATGCCCCTGCTGTAGAGAAGAGGCACGGAGGGTCAGGGAACTTGCCACAGACCCTAAAACCAGCGCGGTGTGGACTTGGGATGCAAACACAGGTAGTTCTGTCCCTCATCATTTAAGCAGATAGTCGTCTGTTTCATTAAAAATAACCACTGTGAGGCATGACTGCGAAAAATATTTGTACCTTTCCAAATTAAGAAGCAGAGAAATCTTCTAGAAGTCACAGCATGTATATATGACAAGCCAGGAACAGTTCAATAGGCTGCATGTGGAAATTGTGCTACTCTGCCGCTACTCTGGTTGCTTTAAATAAATAACTTGCTATGGTGGCCGGGAGGTTAAATGTGCTCAGTTTAAAATTAGATGATAGCTTCTTCCGAGAGCAATTACTAAGTCAAGAAAGGATGGAATGTTAAAAATAATCTGCGAAGGCAGCCTGTAGTACTGACGGAACATATGCTGCCTTTTGCTCCAAACCACCTCCGACGATGAGGTATCAGCCAGAAAGACCTGCCGCGAGGTGCGAGGGAAAGGTGTGGGGAAAACAAATACGTGACCACAGGTGGCACCTGGCACCCAGAATGAAGCTGTTTTAATGCCTGGTTCAAGAAGACTAATTTTCCAAGTTGAAATCAGAGAAGATATCACACTTGGAAATAGTGTGGAGAACACGAATTGTGCACTCCAGAGACTCCAGTGTGAACATTCTGATACCCAGCCTGAACAATGGCCGTGCATTACTCTGCTGCAATATCACAAAATCAGAGAACCGTTTGTCTCATTGTGAA